TCTAAAAAAATAAAAAAATAAACAATTAAAATGTTTGTTAAAATAAAAAACTTAGTTAACATCTAAATAAAAAGAAAACGAACAATTAGAAATGTTTGTTAAAATAAAAAAAATTTTTAGCTTTTTTTACTCACTATGTTCCCATATCTAGAGACTCAAAAAATTCCTAAAAAAAAATAAAAAAAAAAGTTTAATAATGTTTGTTAAAACTTAAAATAAATAAAGAAAAAAATAAAAAAACATATCTAACTGAAAAACGCTATGTTCAAAAAGTACAAGAACTACTACTTAATAATTAACATTTGCCATAATTTTCGTCATACCCACATACACGCACTTAAATTCTGGAAATTGGCAGGAGCTAGAGACTATAAAATAGAAAAAATGTTGAAAGTTTTTTTTAAAAAAAAAGATTTGAAAATTGAAAAATAAAATACTACAATAGTCATTTTCTAAAAAATAGGTATATTCTATTTAACATGAAAAGAATGGAAAGGAAAAAAAAACAAAGGAAATAAAGAAAGAATATGAGAAAGGGGAAGAGGACGCGTGAAAAAGGGAAAGTAAAGAATGTATAGAAAAGAATGTATAAAGGGGAAGGAAAGAAACGTGTAAAAAGAGAAAGGAAAGAAATATGTAAAAAGGAAAAGGAAAGAACGTTAAAAAGAAGAAGGAAAGAAACGTGTAAAGGGAAAAGAGAAATAACATGTGAAGAGAAAGGAAATTATAAAGGGGAAAAGGCTTCACTACTAATAAAAAAGTAATATTTTTTTTAACTTTTTTTAATTGGCAAGTCATATGACTTTAAATAAATTGTTTTGCAAATGATTTTGTAATACAGATTTGTAGATCATTTTACGCGAAACTTTAAAAATAAAGAATCCTTAAGTTTTTTTTTATTGGGAATCCTTAAAGATCCTATAAGTTACAGAATCTTTAAAGATCCTTAAGATTTGTTAAGAGATTTTTAAGGAATCCACAAAATACCAGATCTCTAAGGATTCTATAACAATTTATGGAATCCCTACGGATCCATACACCAAAAAATTTACTGATAAATCCATGACTATTACATAATTAAACTAATCAAATTACATGACAAATGAAGTATAGCGATAAATTGCATATGCGATAAATCATAATTTTCTTTTTTATATTATATAAATTTTAGATAGAATCTATTGATGATTTTAGAATTTGAAGGTAGTATGCTTACCTTTAAATCTTAATTTATTTTTTTAATCCAATTTTTTTTATATTATATGAAGTTCAAATATATAGGACCTATTGATAATTTTAGAATTCAGAGGTATATTTACCTCTAAAACTTAATTTATTTTTTTTTAAAAAAAATAAATTATATAGGTTATGAATGGAACTTGTCAATAATTTTGAAATTCAAAGATATATTAATTTCCAAATCTTTAAATTTTTAAATTTTTTATTTAACAAACATTCATTTTATCAAATTTTTTAGATCTTGGATGCTAAAGAACAGCTCTGAATTCTTATTTTAAAGGTAAAATCTTTACCTTTGAAATTTTTTTTTATATTTTTTATTTAACAAATATTATTAATGTTCATTTTTATATTTTTAGATTCTGGAAGCTAAAGTACAGTCACGTTGGAAATTGTTGCCCAATTACTTACAGGTAGAGGTTATAATTATTTATCACTATAGTTATCCCAGCATCCAGTGATCAGAGTTTGACAAATTAAGGCTTATTGGATTCACCTCATCAAGACGAGTCCAATGTTAGTTTAATCATGACTTTAGGTTCAATAAATGCCGAGATATACCTCCAAACATACTTTACCTAAAAATTTTTTGAAACTCTGGATTTCATAAAATTGGGAATAGCTCGCTATTCAGTAATCCGATTTTGATAATCAAAGGCTCATTAGATTAATCTCATTGAGACGCATCGAATGGTAGCCAGCCTATGTATATAATATCGATATATCACGAAATAATGGCCAAAACGTCTAAAATATATTTTAATGTATATTTTGGCATATATCGATCCTAGAGATATAAACTGACCACTATTCAATTCGTCTTGATGAGATGAATCCAATGAGTCCTTATTCGCCAAATTCGGATTACTGGATGCCAAGATAATCACAAGTAGCAAGATAATTATAGATTTCATCTTTAAGCAAAAATCAGCCAAAATTAAATAAAATTGCAACTACTGATTTGCCAACAAATTAATTTGGTTTAAACAAAGTAGAGAACAATTAGAAACGAACTAATATATTATCCAGAAGTGTGACCTCCTCTCAAGAGCTATAGGAGAACTTAAAGCTGTACTGAGGAAAAAATGAAAATTTAAATAGTTCTGTTTTTGGAAAGGCTGCCACCTTGGGATTGTAAAAATTTAATGTAGTATGAGAAGCAAACTAGATATAAATTTTTTACTAATGTTTATACTGGTGAAAAAATACAAATATATTTGTATTTGTCTTCATTTTCAAATCAGCATTACTTTCTGACGCAACTGTACAACTCTGAATATTTATTTTAAAATTAAAAACTTTTGAATAATTTAATTTATTTAATGAATATTTACTGAACATTTATTTTTATATTTTATAAATCTGGATGTTAAAATACAGTTCTGGTTGAAGGTAAAACATTACCTTCAAATTTTTTTATATATTTTTATCTTAACGTTACTTATATTCATTTTTGTACTTTATAGGTTCTGAATGCTAAAATATAACTCTGAACATTTATTTCAAAGATATAATTTTACTTTCAAATTTTTTTTTATATTTTATCTTAATGAACATTATTAAACATTCATTTTTATATTTTATAGGTTCTGGATATTGAAATATAGCTCCAGACTTTTGCTTTAAAGGTAAAACTTTACCTTCAAATTTTTTTTATATATTTTTATCTTAATAAATGTTACTTATATTTATTTTTATATTTTATAGGTTCTGGATATCAAAAAACAGTTTTAAATTTATTTTCAAAAGTAAAAACCTTTAAATTTTTTTTTTCTATCTTTAAAATGAAATATTACTAAATATTTGTTTTTGTAGATATTAATACTAGTCCTTGAGTTTGGATTGGTAAGTTTCAAAGTTTTTACTTTAAAATTTTTTTTTAAATAAATTTTTTTAAATTTTATTTAAACTTTTTTTATTTCTTTTGTAAGTATCAGCTTTTGGTTATTTGGCTTTGAATTGATAAATTGCTTCTAAATTTTTTTTTTTCTTTTTTGTAGATATTAGCTTTAGTTCTTAATTTTTAATAGATAAGTTTTAAAGTGAAAGTTTTGAAATTACTTTTTTTAAATATTTTTTTTAAGAAATTCTATTACCTTTTTTTTTCTTTGTAAATATTAGCAGATCCTTAAGCTTTGATCAGTAAAGTTTAAAGTGAAGTTTCAAAACTTTTTATTTTATTTAAACTTTCTTTACTTCTTTTGTAAATATTAGTATTAGTTTCAGACTTTAGATTGATAAATTTTGAAGCAAATACTTTAAAACTTTTTTTTAAATTTTTTTTTTTAAGAAACTTTATTAATTTTTTTTTTCTTTCTTTTGTAAGTATCAGTATCAGTTCTTGGATTGAAGATTTTAATCAGTAAGTTTTAAAATACTGTATCAAAACTTTTTTATAAAAAATCATTTTTTTAAAAAATTTTAACAATTTTTATTCTTTCTTTTATAAGTAATATTGATCTTGCGTTTTGAATTAATAGGATGAGTAAATTTATTTTAAAATGTTTTTTTTTATATTTTTTTATTAACATTCAGTTTCTTTTATTTTTAAATTCCTATTCACACTCATATTAAATAAAATAAAATTATTTAAAAATAAAAACATAAAAAAACATAAAGTAAATAAAAACTTTTATTGAAAATTGCAAATTTTCTAAAACTTTTTGTTATGTGTATAGTCATATAATTTTGCAGCATTGCATTTTACATATTTGACTAGTTAATTTTTGTTATATATTATTTTTAGCTATAAATAGAAATTCTCAAATAAAATTGTTGTTAAAAATTTGCTTAATAAAACATTAGTATTTATTATTATCCTTGAAATTATAAAACTTAAGATATATAGTATATTGTACTATTAAAATTATTAGTAATACTACTATCAATATAATATTTACATATTCTTTTTTTTCTTTTTTTAAACAAAATTCACTATTTGTTAATTGAATTCTTCTGAAAAATGAAACTCTAAATTCTTGCGAATTAAGTTCTTTTTCTTTTTATTTTTCATTAATATGATTTTTATAATATTTTACTAAAAGTTTTTGCACTACAATATTCTAAAATGCAAGATTCTGAAATTTTGAATGCATTATTGATAAAGTGGATAGAATTCTAAATCTAAATAACATTTTCATCTAACATTTTTTATGCAAATTTTTGGGATCTAATATAATGGTAATTTGGAAATATATTATATTCAGCATTCTCTTTAGAAGTTACCTATTCCAAATTATCAGTGATTTTATTTTTTATAAATTAAAAATTTAAAGATCAAAATTATTTAACAAATTTGCAATCTTTTAATATACTTATATATATATATGTAAAGTTAATTCTATTTCTTTCTATTTCTCATTTGATGTGATCTTTATAATACTTTCAATATCAGCTACCAGAAGTTTTTGCACTATAACATTCTGAAATGCAAGATTCTGAAATTTTGAATGCATTATTGGTGAGGTGAATAGAATCCCAAATCTGAATAATATTTCCAATATGCAATATGACAGTAATTTGAAAATATATTATGTTCAGCATTTTCTTTAGGAGTTACCTATTCCAAATTATCAGTGATTTCATTTTTTACAAATTAAAAATTTAAAGATCAAAATTATTTAACAAATTTGCAAAGTTATTTAAGACAGTGCCATTTAAGCTGCTAAAAAGAAAAGCCTCTATCAAAGAATATTCACTAAAATTCATGAAAATTTTATATATAATATAAAATTTTTCTCTTTCTTTACAATCACAAAAAAATGAAAGAATTAAATTTAGACGAAAAATTTAATGATGTAAGTGATGATGTAAAATTTTTTCACAACCAAATATGATTTTTCTATAGGTTGCTGATGCATTGATAGATTCTTTACTGGTTAACAGTAATAGACAGTATATTGGTAAAAACTTTTTTTTTTTTACTCAAAATTACATTTATTTTGCAAGCATTAAAGCCAAAGGGGCAAATGGAATGTTATTACTTATCAAGAAGTTGTTTGTCATAATGAAAGATTAGGAGGAAACGATGAAGCGAGTAGAAATATTTAACTCAATGGGCGTACTCATGATTTAGCCAAAATTCGAAATTAATTTATTTATTATAGATAAAATTTCTCTCGGTTATGTTCGGTTTGCAGGCATTTGCTAAAGGAACAGAGTTTGCCAGCCAAAGATAATTATTATTCGTCCAACAGTATTAAACGATCCGGTAAAATTAATCCACCAATAGTTATTCGACCTGGAGATATCATATTTGGAAATTTAGATGGTGTTGTATGTATCCCTCGAAGATTGTTAGATAAAGTTGTTGAAAACTGTAAACCAGTTAATACGAAGATTGATGCGAGACTGAAAGAAAAGTGAAAAAAGGAAGGTATAGAATCACGTGGTTAGTATAAAGTAGGAAGTGAGATGAAAAATGAAAAAGCCACAACTATTTTGTATTAAACTGTTTTTATAATGCTTAATTAGTGCGAAAGAAGACGATGACTATTTGGCTTCTTGGTGAAGTTAATACTAATCAATATGTTATAAAAATTTATTTTTTGCGGTTATAATTAGATTTTATATGAAATAAACCGAAGTGTTATTTGATTAATAAATGCTATACCTACTTTATCGCTTATCACTTTGACTGCACAAAGCTAAGCCACCCACGATTTGTCTTTCCTTTATGAAATTAGTGATCAATAAAATATAGCTTTATAACAATTACCTTTATAAAATAGATCTAGTTTTTACAACAGAAACGCCATAAGCAACCATATTAACGATCGCAATTATAACATTACCACCACCGGATTCTGTTAAGAATGACCAATTCCATCTTCCATTTTTCCAAGATTTAAAATCCAACCAAGTTTGTGCACCATTCGCTGTAGCCAAAACCAACAAAGAAACTTTTTGAGCTCCCATATCCTTGCTAAATCTTGTTAAAGCTAATAAAGCTAATAAAGCCAACGAAGAATTCATACCACCTAATCTTTTAACCACGTCATTAGCAATCGCATGCGATGCACCCATTTCATTATTCCTTATAGTATATCTTTTTAAATATTTTCTTGAAGAAAATAAAAGCCTTTTTAGTGAAAATGAATGCCAAATAAATGTCAAGAGAAAAGGAAGGTTATTTGAACGAAACAATTGACGAATTAAAAAGACAAAAACTGAAATGAGATGACCAAATATAATACGAATTGTGGATGGATAAAATGGTCTATTGCGAACACGATGTCGTTTTATTGACTGTGGGGTTTGTTGAGAAAAGGGATTCTCTTGTTGATAAAATGGATCATGTTCAAGAGATATTTGTGTTTGAATATCATCTTCATTTGTTATTTCTTCATTTATTGTTTGAATTTGTGACATTCCTTTTATTTTTATTTTACTTTTATCAAGAGAAAAAATGATTTTTTTTTTAATTTTAGTGTAACAGAGTAAGCATATGACGTAACTCGCCCAGTTTCTTAATTTAAAATAATAATTAAAATAATAATGACAATCCCAAATTCAAATCCCAAAAATCCCGAACGCAGTTACAAATGCTAAAAGTTATGAAAGTAAATGGTTTACCAATCATATTTATGAACTAAATATTTGGTGAAATTTTGATAAATTGAAATCATCATAATTTGATGTCAATTAAAGATACTAATTTCTGTTATATATTTAACTAGTATTTAACTAAAATTGCGTAAATTTGATTTTCACAAAATGGTTTTTTTGTATCTCCTTGTGTTATATTTATTTTTAACAGCCATTCTCGTAATATCAAATAATGTTTTTCATTCTAATAAGAGTGTTATTGCTTTATTGCTTTAAATAAATTACCAATAATAGTTAAGAGAGTTGATGTAATCCTTATCCTGGAGATTGATTTAGACCTGGTGACGAGATTGATGTAAAGTGGGATTTGATTGGTTTTGAATGTCGAAATTCAATGGATGGTTTGGTGTCATTACATCAAATTAACGCGATTTTATTTTCTAACTTGACCAAAAATGATGTGGAAATGGGAATATCGTTTGGGAATAATATTAACTGCTTGTCCTATACAACTAATACTATTAGCTAATATCGTAATTCAAGTTTATTTTTCTTGGATATTGAATTAACTTTTACAACAAATCCTCCAGGATTTATATTTGATATTATACAATATTACCTATTCCGAAAACAAACGAATCTGATACAATTACTGATAATGATCATGTTATTTCTCAAGCTGGGCGAAAGATCGTAAAGGAAACAATTCTAATGTAATAGAGTTAGTTCTGTCGATATTTTAGAAACCGGGATTGGTTGGATATGTGCGATGTTTGGTATTATATTTGCTATCATATTGCAGCAAACTCTAAGCTACATAAATAACGCGAAATTGATTTTCAAATTAATAATTAATCTTGGCTAGAATTAATTCCAATAATACTTGGTTTTCTTCTATGTTCATAAAAAGTAAGCTGTAGCGTGTTAATACCACTTTTTAGGCTAACCAAAATTAGTAGGATACTATAAAGTCTGTCTCTTATACACATCTAGATGTGTATAAGAGACAGCTATAAAGTTGCTTCAAACGTGAATCGTTTGAGAGAAGTTGTTATTTTTTTTTTTGCTATAAAGAAAATAAGGAAACTTTCTGTAATTATTCTAATGTTTACCTGCTATTAAAAGTTACCGTAAATCGCTTGTACCTGGAGGGACTCAACATTCTCTGTTCTATAGACGGACGAACAAATCTGTTATGATAAATAGAATTTCATCAATGTCATGTGCTTGTAAATAACTTGAAAGATCAAGTGAAAGATTATTGGTTATTAAAACTTTCTTGTCATGTGATTTTCTTTCCTCAAAAAATTTCTTTGGTGCAAGAACTTCGCCAACTTTAGTCTGTGTTGTGTATCGCTCCCGCTTTTGTTTCGAAATCGTTATTTTCCCTTGACCCAATAATTATACGTAAACTTTTAAAGGGAAAAAATTAGTTTACACTTCTGCTTAATACGGATCGACTTTTTAACATAAGGTATACTTTAGGAACGATCCAACATGTCATATTCTCCTGGTACGGTAGTTTACGCAAAACTTAAGGGATATCCTTGGTGGCCAGCACGAGCAAGTATTTTGCTGCTTTTACTTTTCGCGGCGCGAGTGTCTACACGATTCGCGTTTTAGTAAATTTACTTTTACAAGTATACTTCACTTTTTTTTTATTTCATTTGATAGGTTGAAGTCGAAGAGTCATTACCTTCCACAGTTATTTCTAAAAAACCGAAAACACCTAAACCAATAATCAGTGTTAGATTTTTCGGATCTAAGGATTAGTACGTTTCTCAAAAAATCTTTCTTTGAGTTCTTAATGAATATTTTAGTCTTATTGAAATTAACACTCATATTATATCTTCTAATAATGATAGTGGCTGGTTTGGGAGCAACGATATTAAACCATTTGATAAGAAAGATGCTGAATTGACATTGCAAAAAATGAAAAATAAGAAACATGACAAATTGTTGGAAAGATCTATTCGTGAAGCTTTAGATCCTTCATCTTCATCCTTTGATGACCCTATGGATGAAGAAGGTGCCGATGATGATGTAGAATCAGAATCTGATGTGGAATTAGAAAATGAAAGTAAGAAATCAAGTGAATCTTTTGAAAATGAGGACGAAGAAGAGGGAGAATATACAAAAAAATCAAAGAGTCGTAATAAAGGAAATAAGAAAAATAGAAAACCCACATCAATTAAAAGTTCAGAACATCGTAGAACATCATCATTAAGTCAAAAGAAAAAGTATCGTAGTTATTCATCAGAAGATGAGGATGATGTGGATCATGGCGGAAAAAGTGGAAAGAAGCGCAGAGCCAGCGAAGGTTCTGCTTTAGAAAAAGCTTCTAAGCGTAAACATAGAAAAATAGACTATACTGATGATGAAGAGGAGAAAATGGATTTGGATAATGGGAAGAAGGTATGACATTGATGATATAAAAATAATTCTATCTATTTCGTTAAATTTAAATTTTGAAAAATTTAAATTTTAGGAACGTCGGCAGATTATTAAAAAAGAGGGTTCAAAATCACCGGTCAAATCTGATAATGAATCACCTGAAGGTGATGTAAATGACAAGGACGAAAATAAATATAATAAGGATGATGATGCAGGTTTTGAAAGCAAGTCAAGTAGAATGGAATCTGAAAGTCATCATCGTTCGTCTAAATCGCGACAGTCGAGTACGTACATGCAATAATATATTCATATTTGTTTCTATGATTTATGATATTTTTTTTTTAATAATAGGAACACCTAGTGATAAATTACTTCATTTGAGACATAGACTTCAGAGAATGACTTTGAAAGACGATATTGAGGTAAGATTTTCTATCAATTCCGTTTATTCATTTTATATCTTATTTATATTATTACAAATCTTTTTTTTTGCCCACTAGATATTAGACACGGAAAAGATTGATGAAGTGTTTACTGAAGTTGAAAATTTTCATATTACTATTCCTTTATTGAAGGTAACTTAAGGATTAACCCTACTGATAAGCTATTTCTAATTTATTTAATATTTTTAATTGACGTTCTAATTAGGAAAGTAAAATTGGTAAACTCATGAGAAAAATTGCCGAAAAAAATATTGATCCAGACCCGAAAAGAATTATAGAACGAAGCAATGAGTTAATCAGGAAATGGAAATGCTTGTTGGAAGCACCTACTCATGAAGGATCTGATGAGGAAACATCACCTAAAACAGTTACTCAAATTGAGGGTGAATCACCAAATCGAGAAGCTGTTAATAGCGAAGAAAGCAGTCAGCCTTTGCCTGGTGAACAAGAAACTGATAACAAAAATCAAGAAAATTTCGATAGTAATAATGTGAAGGAAGATAAAGAAAGGCTCCCATCAGCTATGGATGTCGACGAAATTAATGATATTCAACCAGAAATTAGTGAGGGAAAACAGATAGTTGAAAGTAAAGATAACATCGTCACAAACGGATCCTCACCTGCAGCTAACAATCAAGAAGTGAACAGTCATGAAAAAGAAGATTTTAATAATAAAACTTCTGAATTGTGAATTGTGAATTGTGAATTGTGAATACATTTTATTTGCATAGGATATATATTCTTATAGGTTTGAACCACACAAAAACTATGTTTCTAATCTTACTATCTTTTTGTTATTTTTCTTTTTTTGCAATCAAAATTTCTTTAGCTTTTATATGCTTTATTGTCTTTGAAAGTTGCTGTAAATATTTAAATAGACTAAGCGGAGAGAAAAAAAAATTATTCTGAAATTAATTTGACTGATTTCGTTTTTGCCAACTTAGTTTACTTATTGTTTTATTTCAATTAGTATCATGAGATTTACTACTATTATTCGATGAAATAAATTTTTTTTTAAGAAACAAAGTTATTGTGGCAGTATTACGGCATCACGTTTTCACATCGATGTTACACAAGATTGTTAAAAAAATGATAAAATGGTTTTCTAGTTGGCCAATCTTCAACGTCTAAACTTACGACTTCTAATGTCGCGTCAAATCAGACAATGTCTGAACCAAAGTCATCAGTTTTAGGTCCTGTTAAAGGCTATTTCACAAGTAAAGATTATAGGTTCTACATTATTGCTGCTGGCTCGGTATTGATTTTGGCAGGAGCTAGCTTCTATTACCTTCGGACTCCCAAGCCTCCAAAACCAAAAACACGTTCTAAAAGAAGATCATCGAGACCTGCCGGAAATGCAGACGCTGGTACAAGTCTGATAGAGCTTGATCACCTTAGATTTTGGAATTTGATATACAAGTAACCTACTTGATCTTCAACTTATTACAGGAAAAGATAGAGGAGGTAGAACTAAAGAGGAACCTGAAGCCGAAGAATTCGAAAAATATAGTTCTGTACAAATTGATGCTTTACCTGTGGAGGTGATTGAGATGTTATTTGATGATAAATAATCATGTTTTCAAAAAAAAAAATATTATTATTAATGTCTTACATTATCTATTAAGAAACGCGTCACAGCTTCACAAATACTCAAAAGTCGAGGAAATATAGCGTTCGGTCAAAACAATTATCAAAAAGCTATATCCCTTTATACGAAAGCGATTGAATTTAGCCAGAACCCAGTATTTTTCAGTAACCGAGCTGCATGTTATTATAACACAAATGAATATGCGAAAGTTATCGAGGATTGCAATAATGCGTTGCAAATGGATCCTCTATATGTCAAAGCGTTAAATAGACGCGCTATGGCATATGAACAAACCTCTCAATATGAAGAATCTTTACATGGTAAATAAAAAAAAACATTTATTTTGCGTGTTTAACAAAAATAAGTTTCTTAATCTTCTTTATTTCTCTTCAAAATTTTTTAAAATAGATTTCACTGCAGTTTGTATAATCGGTGAGTTCAGAAATGAGAACGCTACAGCATCTATTGACCGACTTTTAAAGAAAGTTGCTAGTATCAAAGCTCAAGAAATTATTCAGGTAAATTAAAAACGTATGTTCTGTGTATTTTTAATACGTAACAACGTGATTTGAATTTATATAAATACTAGAATCGTAAAAAACGACTCCCGTCAACAAAATTCATATCTTCATATATGGAGGCATTTCGCAAAGGTTTTTATTTGAATTATTATTTTGAGTTTAATTTCTTTAATTATCTAAATTTTTTTTTTTTCCTCTATCCCAGCACGGCCTTATATGGTTGATGAGGAGCAAGAAGGCGATGAATTTTATAAAGCTGCGGAAAATTTTTTGAATGAAGAACGTTATGAAGAAGCAATGAATGCGTACGGAAAAGCCATAGAAGTTGGATGTTCCTATATGGCTGAAGCCCTCAATATGAGAGGTACCTTCACTTATTTAACGGGTGATTCCAAGGGTGCTTTGGAAGATTTCAAAAAGGCACTTGAAATTAAGCCTGATTATGTTCAAATATATGTAAAGCGTGCTACAATTTACATGGAACAAGGTAATATAAAAATTTTTTGTTTTTGTAATGAAGCATGAACTTATAATGAACTTTATAGATAACGCTGATCACGCATATCGAGAGTTTGATGATGCTATTAAAATTGATCAAAATGATCCAGATATATATTATCACAGGTTTTTTTCGAATTTAAACTTTAAAATCATGCTATATATATTATGTGTTTATTTATAAATAATTTTATTAACCTTTATTATTTGATATATTAATATCAGAGGACAAGGTATGTGTATAATTATCGATTTGAACTCGAATAATAGCATGTTAACTTTAATAAACATTTTGAATTTTAGTATATTTCCTCAATAGTATGTTTGACAAGGCAGTTGATGAATATCAGCGTAGAATTGAACTTGACCCAGATTTTGTTTATGCGTATATTCAACTTGCGATAGCCCAATATAAAAATGGGTCTATTTCAGAAGGAATTAAGACTTGTCGACTAGGACTTCAAAAATTTGTTAAATCGGCTGAGATGCATAATTATTACGGTGAACTCCTTGCTGATCAAAAGAAGGTTGATGAAGCCATGGAACAATTTGACAAAGCTATTGAATTACAAAACGGAAATTTTGCATTACCTTTCGTTAATAAAGCAATGCTCTGTTTCCATGTTAAGAATGACCATGCTCAAGCTGAAGATTTTTGCCGTAAAGCATTGGAAAGTAAGTATAATTAAATTTACTTATTATAAAATGAGCGGACTAACAATGAGTGTTTATTAATCTCAAAGTTGAGCCAGAAAGTGATATTGCAAACACGATCATGAGTGAGATTCTACTTGCTAGAGGAAACTTGGAGGAAGCACTAAAATATCTTGAAAGGTACCAAGAAGTTGCACGAACAGAATCTGAACTTCAAGGTATCCTGGAGTATGCAGAAGCTGCACGATCTCATATTGCTTTCAAACGAAGATATCCACAACATGCTGATCGTGCTTCTTCACTTGCTCGGTAAAAAAATAATTTCACACTTAAATATTATTATTTTTTTTTTAAATCCGCAGTTATTAACAAGCACTATATGTAAACTAAAAAAAACTATTATATTAAAATTAGTAAATTTGCTAAATTTTTAAATAAATATACGGTCACCTCCGAAAGGAGTGACACGATGTTTCACCAATCAAGTATTGAAAAAAAAATTTCTTATACCGACAAAATATTTATAAACTATATAACTATATTTATATATGATCAGTTGATCACCTCTAAAATTTAGTAATACTTTGCTCATAAATCGAAGGATTGGTTTAGGCGTTGAAGGAACATCTAGCTTTGATTATAATTTTTACATCTTTCTTTCTTTTTTTCCTCTTAACTTATTACAACTTCTTTACAATCTTTATTAGTAATATTAGTTATATTCTGAATACACTTAATTTCTTTTTTTGAGGTTTATTACATGCCTTATACTTATTAGGTTATTGAGTCTTTATGTCTTATTATTTGTAATGGATTACCAATATGCATAAAAATTAAAAATTCCATTTCCCTGCTGGTCAAATAGTTCTACTTTTATACTTTTAATAAATTATTAATTCAAATAGCTAAATTAAATGCCTATTTAATACATCTTACTTATATCAAATCCATATTTTTGTTTAACTTTAAGATTATTGTTTATTTAATTGGATATATTAGTTTTTATATTATTATATCCAGTTTAATATAAACTTACCCTTCCTTTCTTTTTATTATTAACTTGAAATATACAATCCTTTTATTGATAAGCCAAAGATAAGTAAATTTTTACTATAGTAATTTTCAAATAAAAAAATATAATTATCATATTATTATTATAATAATCATATAATTAAAAAAGAAATAATTTATTTATCGCACGTGCGATGCAAATTTTTATGTTTATCATTGCCATTTTAAGGGGGTGGCGATGTATAAGCAGGTTGATCAACCTAAATAATTTACAAAAAAGGAAAGTGGCGATGCATCGCACGTGCGATGAATAAATTTACTCATTAAAAAAAATGCAATAATACATCAGGAAGTTCAAATTTATAAAGACCAGCAAAATTTAGCAAATCTGTAAAATTCTTCAATTTTGCAATTTACTAAAAGTTTTTTAAAAAAAATTAACAAAATTCTGCAATTTTGCAGAATTTCATTTAATGGGATTTTCACTTTTCTATAAATATCTGAAAATTCTTTAATTTTATAGTTTGCTAAAAATTTTAAAAAATTTTATTAATTAAAATTGCAAATTTATAATTAGTTTAAATTTTCATTAAGTTATAATTAATTAAACTTTTTAATTTCAATTAATTAAATTTTATAATTTTTTCCATTAATATTAAACTGATTTATTTTTTTAACAAATTTTAATTTTTAAACTTTTTAATTAAAGTTTTTCAACAACTTTTAATTTTATAATTTTTAATTTTACTTTTATTAAAAGTTTTTTGGTTTAATTTTAAAATATATATTTGTTTAAGGATTTTATTTTTTATTACACTTATATTATATCATATCCAGAACTCTGGACATCACATATATAACTCACATTTGAGTTTTAGCAAATTCAATCAAAATTAGGTTAAACTCATAATTTTAGATAAAGCAAATTGATTGAAAATTAATTAATAGTCATAATTATGAGTTTTAGCAAATTGTATTGATTTTACAAAGTCATATTTTATATTTGAGCAAATTGGTACTTTTTTTTAAATTTAACTTATCCTTTTTTTTTAACTTTATAAATAATATTTTTAAAAATATTAGTTTCGGGGTCTGGGTCATATTTTGGCCAAAATTAAGCATAATGCGGGCCAAAAACCATCCGTTTAGTTTCGCAACATTTTATTTTTTAATAATTATTTATTTAATTTATTATTTTTATTAATTATTATTTTATCTATAATCTACATATTTTAATTATAAAAATTGGCAGTTTAATTTATATTAATCATTTATTTTTTTATTGATAATAAAAAAAGATTATTAACTCATATTTTGAGTTTTAGCAAATTAGTATAGATTTGAAATGTGATAATTTGATTTTTATTTATAACATAGCTTGCACTTATTATTTTTTGCCAACAGTTACTTTAGAGAATACCGAGTATTCAAGAAAGAACCACAACAAAGTGCAGAACTAACTAATACAAGAACAAATAAATTTTTCAAAAAGTTACAAATATAGAAAAGATAAGATTTAAAACCCATCACTCTTCATATAAATAACCATGGCTACCCCCGAATTATATCTCAAATCTGGTAGAATCGACTATACTATACGTACCTAGCAAATCACCCTGCTACATTTAAAGATCGAGTTACCCCATAAACCAAGTACCATTAGTGCTATCAAAAAGAAACAAAATTCAATTTCTCCTATTTAACTACATACTATGGATAACAAACCTACTTCAAAAAAACCTCAGGGAACTTTTTAGTGTTGTGCAGTCCAGCCGCTAGGGAACTTTTTAGTGTCGTGCAATCCCCAAAGGGACACCCACCTCATTGCAAATGATCCCTAACAGAGGATACCCATCTCATTGCAAACAATTATTCGGCCTAAGAACATGTGACCACCTTAATCAGCATACTATAAAAACTGCAGTACCCAACCTATCACCCCCTTATCACCTGAGTGATCATTGATTTTAAAAATTAGTAACATCAAGCCATCATGACGATCAAATTTTCCCATCTTTCAAAGAAAATAAAGCCACGCTGAAAAAAAATCAAGAAAAACAAAAAGCAAAAAATAAAAACATAAACCTCGGGAAAACTCGAAATGCAATGAGAAAAATTTGAGTAAAAAAAACACTAAACATACACCTCAACTCTGTCTTCTTATTTTAGAAGACTAATACCCCTAGTGCTCTGAAATGAGTCAAGTTGACTCGTGAGTTGGTCGAGTCGAGTCAAGTCGAGTTGAAAATTGCAATCAAATCAAATCGATTCAAGTTGAGTTAATAATTTAATAAAATCGAGTCGAGTTGAGTTAAGCTGAATTAAATATAATTCCAGCCAAATTTATGGAATTTCCTTTTTTGGAAATTATGTTACACAAAATCCAAGACAAAAAATTTTTGAAAATTACAAAAATGGAATTTTGTGGAATGGCTATCGCCGAAAAAAGGGGGGCGTCTAAAGCCATGTTCGATCACGTGACTTGTAAAAATTTATTTTCACAAATAAAACTTTTTCGCCAATACATAAAACTTTTAAGTTACACATAATATGTGTATTTTAGCCTGATGTGCAAGTTTACTTAGTGCGCAACATGGGGTTTTAAACACCGTTTTTGACTTATTTGAATTTTTTCATTTTCGTCATCCATTTTTGGATATGATCGGCAAAGATTCTTCGTTCATATGTAAAGTCAAAAACAGTGTTTAAAACCAGTTTTTTTTCACTAAGTAAACTTGTAAAGCAGGCCAAAATACACTTATTTTATAACCTTCACACTAACATTAATCTTAGTTCATAAAAAAATGGCTTATTTATAAAATGTCAAGTCACATGATCGAACATGACTTTAGATGACTCCCAAAAAAAGGAAATGATCAGTATAGCCAAATAAAATTACGTGATTTAATTTGACTCAACTTGATTCAGTTTGACGTGCCAACTCGACTTGAATCGAGTCAAGTTTATATTTTTTATAATTTTAATTCGAGTCGAATCGAGTTTACATATAACTCGACTTAAATACTTCCATTAACAACATCAACTAGTAAGAAATATGTTGGTCAGGAGCTTCTTCCAAGAAATAACGGTCTGGCTTACAAACCATTTGGCCAGTTAGACTTTAAAGACGTAGGAACTAAGACGCACTACTTTGCAATCTTTCAGAAAGCCCAGGGGAACGTTCCATCTTACGTTATTGTTGGTAACTCCAAGACTCATAATAATAATTCTAACTCAATATAAGCCGTAAGGAGTTTGGGTAAAACTAAAGACCTCAGTAATAATTTCATATAACGTTGAAAAGTCCTTTTACTATCACTCAAGGCAAAAAATCCTCATATTTTTTATCCATGTCTTTTTGGGAAAAAATAGGCAGAGTCCAACAGGAGAGAAAGTACAATGATCCCTTAATTTGATTTTTAGCAAATTAGGTCTATTTTAACAGAAGCAAAAAGTATTTAAATTCATGCAGATCAGTTATGAGTTATATATATAATGTCCAGGGTCCTTCATATCTTTATCCTTTAAACTGTTTTGCAGCCAAATTTGCCTGCAATTTTATTTTTTAATTAAAGACACTTTTAAATATTTTAAAATATATTATTTTCTAAGTAAAAATCAAAAAAAAAGTTCAATTTGATTAATGATTTTTAAAAGTAAATGATTGACAAATTATAACAAACAGTAGCTAAATTTTTCAAATTGAAATATCTTTTTATCCATTAATCCTAGAAATATAAAATTACTACATTTGATGTGTCTTAATGAGAAGGATCTGATAGAAATAAAATTAATTGTTTTTCTACAAATATTATGTGATAGAATATCTTATAAAATCTAAAAATTTATAAATTAATATAACTTTTTATCTATCAATTTTAGAGTTATTATTTTATTACCATTAAATACGTCTTAATAAGAGGAATCTAACAAATATAATTTTATCTTTTTATGATTACTAGATCTTAAGATATTTTAAAAATTCAAAAATTTTTAAAATTAATTTTAACCCCTACAGTTTAAGGGATAATATATTACATATAAAAGTCAAAAATAACATTTTAAATTCTTTTTAATATATTAAAAAAACTTGTAAAATAGTCAAAAATATATATAGTATAAGGTTTTTATAGTACATAGTAAATGTATAAAGTCTCACACCAGGATTTTTTAAAAAATAAAAATCTCATATAATTAAAATGATTAATATAACTAATATATAAAAATTATTATCAACAAAGGAAAATATAACATATTGCAAATATGTTTCTTTATTTAATAAATAAATTTTTTTTTTACTAAACCTTAGAATTATATAAACTTTTTAATTAATTAAATCAACTAATATTATATATATTAAGTATCATCAAACTAGTATTCTACACAAATCAATTTGTGATATAATGTAATCTTAATTACTTCTGAAAGATAAAACTGTATTTTGCAAATAACTTTTAATTAGTTTAATTTTAATGATTTTTTTATTTAATCAGAGCAATG